TATATATATATATGTGTGTGTGTGTGTGTGTGTGTGTGTGTGTGTGTGTGTGTGTGTGTGTGTGTGTGTGTTCATATATATACATGTGTGTCTGTGTATTTATCTATTTTATTCACACAAGCTGTGTGTGTGTGTATATATATATGTATAAATATACATACATATATATATATATATATATATATATATATATATATATATATATATATATATATATTTGTGCGTGTGTGTGTGTGTGTGTGTGTGTGTGTTCATCTATTTATTTATTATTTATCTTTATCTATATACATATTCATATATATATATATATATATATATATATATATATATATATATATATATATATATATATATATATATATGTTTATACATATATATACATATACAAACGAAACGAGGCCCACAGCCCCAAACAAGTCCAGGGAGACCCGCCCGCGAGTGAGCCCGACAGAGCCGACGCCGCGCCATCCCTCGTACACCGAACCGTTTATAAGTAGCGCATGTTGGCGGCGGGGAGGGAGTCCTATAAGTTACGAAAGGTCACAGGTAGCGTGAGTGAGCCCCCAGGTGGTCTTGGGGAGGGCGGGGGGGGGGAGGGTAGGAGAGGGGGGGGTGAAGGGTGGAAAGGGAGGAGAAGGGGAGGGAAGTGGAGGAGGAGGAGGAGGAGGTCGTGTCGGGAGGAAAAAGGTTGTGGTGGGGGGGGGGGGTGTTTAGAGAATAGGGAGATAAGGCAGGGGAGATAGAAAGGGAAGGAGGGAGTAAACAGGAGGAGGGAGAGGAATAGGAAGGAACAGGTGAAGGGGGGTTATCAAAGGAGGGAGGAAAGGGAGGAGAAGAGGAGGGAAGTGGAGGAGGAGGAGGAGGAGGAGAAGGAGGTCGTGTCGGGAGGAACAGGTGAAGGGGGGTTATCAAAGGAGGGAGGAAAAGGGGGTGGGGGAGAAAGGGGAAACCAAAGAGATGAGGGAAAGAAGGTAAGACACGAGAGGTTGGAAGGAAAGGGAGTGGAAAGACGAACAACAAAGGAGAAGAGGGAAGGGAAGGGAAGGAGGAATAATAGCAACAGTGAGAAGAAGCGGAAGAAGGGAAAGGAAGAGAAGAAGGGGAAGGAGGGGAAAGAGGAGAAGAAGGGGAGAAAGGGAAAAGAAGAGAAGGGGAAGAAGGGAAAGAGGAGAGAAAGGTAAAGAAGGGAAAGGAAGAGAAAGGTAAGGAAGGGAAAGGAAGAGAAGGGGAAGAAGGGGAAAGAGGAGAGAAAGATAAGGAAGGGAAATGAAGAGAAGGGGAGGAAGGGAAAGGGAGAGAAGGGGAAGGAGGGGAGGAGCAGCCGGTAAGGAGTAGCATAGGACTCTCTCGCTGCGGGTTGTCGGCGGGTCGCGGCGCCGATCCCCCAAGCCACAGGGATCACCGAGGGCGCCGCCCGAAGCACGCCGCACCGGAGGATCACGCCCTCCCTTGGGCGCTGCGGGGTCAGGGCGCTCGGCGGGCGGCGGGTGCAGCATGGGAGGGGGAGGGGGGGAAGGAAGAAGGAGGTGGAGGAGGAGGAGATGGAAGGGAAGGGAAGGGAAAGGAAGGGAAGGGAAGGGGAGGGAAGGGAAGGGAAGGAAAGGAAAGGAAAGGAAAGGAAAGGAAGGGAAAGGGGAAGAGGAGTAGTAGTAGAACAAGAAGAAAGGAAGAAATAAAGTCGATGTTGGGTCGATTATTTTGTTTGTCCCTCTTTATGTCTGTATGTCTGTGCGTCTGGATTCTCTCTCTCTCTCTCTCTCTCTCTCTCTCTCTCTCTCTCTCTCTCTCTCTCTCTCTCTCTCTCTCTCTCTCTCTCTCTCTCTCTCTCTTTCTCTCTGGCTCGTTCGCACTGTGTGTGTGTGTGTGTGTGTGTGTGTGTGTGTGTGTGTGTGTGTGTGTGTGTGTGTGTGTGTGTGTGTGTGTGTGTGTGTGTGTGTGTGTGTGTGTGTGTGTGTGTGTGTGTGTGTGTGTGTGTGCGTGTACTTGTAAGTAAGTCAGCATCAAGCCCACGTTTTTTTCCTTCCCTTACTGAAGCACGCCCGCACGCCCACTCTGCCGCGCCCTCGAGTCCCCAGCACGCGCGTCTTCACGGGATCTTGGAGGCGACGCGTGTCCCCAGGTGGCTGCACGCGTGCCTCGGTTCTCCGCGCGTGCTAACTTATCTGTGCGATTTATATGTGTGTTTGGATACGTGTGTGTGTCTGTGCGGGTGTATGGATGGATATGTGGTTGGTGTTTTATGTGGAAATTGATAGAGAAATGTAGGCGCGGGTGGATTGATGTGGATATGTTTGGTAGTACGTACAAAGGACACTTCTATTTTGCTTTCTTCTTTTCACCTGTCTCCATCCACTCTTTCTTCCTCCATTTTCTCCAACTTTCTGGTCCTGTCTCACCTCCTCTCCCCTACTTATCACCCTCCTAACTCCTTAATACTCCCCGCTCCTTGCTCTCTGTCATTCTCTCACCTCCATTCTCTCCCTCCCTCCCTCCCTCCCTC